GGGCTAATCACACACTTCACCCAATTACACGACATGGGCGTGTGCGTGTGTATTTTTAAACCAAGCCCAACGACCATCTTGCAGTGTTTAATTGGCGAGCCAATAGTGACCACAAGTTTCTTTAAAATCGTATTTATCTGCCCACATCCTAATTGATTGAATGCCGGGCCCCTTTGTCGAACGCGTCTTTTATTTCCTCCGAGCATGCCAATACGCTGCTACCTCTAAGTGGACATCCGATGCCATTACAAGCTACAAAATCTAATCTGTTGAACTCGACCAGAGAAAATTTTACACGGCAGTTGTCGTTTGCGCACGATAAATAAATTATTGATCGTAACTGTCGTCTTTTTACATTCCGACACCTGAAAATAAAACATATTTTCACTTCACAGCTCTGTGTGTATTTCGCATATGTTCCTCACGACGTGGATTAAAACATTTCCTGTTCAGGGTCGAGGTAAAACTGTTATGTTACGTTACGTTTCATGCTATGATTTTCAATTTTGGGTTTCCCGTAGGAATTTCCTTTTTTTTTTCTCTCTACGGGCTTTCACGCGAGCTACTAGGTTTCCCTTACGTCATCACCAAGCGACAATGATAGCGCTGTTTTAAATGAGGGACGATTCATTATTCATTTACTGTACTTTTTCCGATTAGGGGTTGAACATTTTCAATTTTGGGTTTCCCGTTAGGAATTTTTTTTCTCTAGTGGCTTTCACGCAAGCCACTAGGTTTCCCTATACGTCATCACCAAGCGACAACGATAGCGCTGCTTTAAATGAGGGACGATTCATTCATTTACTGTACTTTTTCCGATTAGGGGTTGAAAACTAGGAGATCATGCGAATCACGTGGTCTCAATACATTTGTGAGACTATATATCAATCACCATATCGCTGACAAAATCTATTCTGATTGTTTGTTTCAAAGGAACATGGAAAGGAACGCGACTTGACTTTTAGGTTACGGCATCAACAAAACACCCTTTTCACCCAAAACCAGGTTTTTGTGTTAAAACAAATACATTAAAATATTGCAAACGTGTACAACAGGTTGACACACGCACGCACACACACACACACACAAACACACCTATTGCAAACGTGTACAACAGGTTGACACACACACACACACACACACACACACACACACACACACACACACGCGCGCACACAAAAATAGCTTCAAATGAACTGATTTGCATTTCTTTAATAGTATTAAATTGTACACTCACTGATGTTGATTTTTCGACATGGATGTTTATTTTTGATCAAGCATGCCTTTTATTGTGCAAAAAAATACAGAGATGCCAAAACAGCTCGTCTTAAATATGTGGAATGAATTTTGTGTGTGTTACATCCAAACACTCGACATTATTTGATATCTAATACAGTATGAGATCCATGCAATCTTAATTTCATAAAACTTAAATGAATGAGTTAATAATCAAGGTCATTTTAAATGCAAATTATGAGACATTAGCAAAATAACAATTACACCATTTGATAAAAGCCCTACATCGAAAACAAATGTTGAATTTACCGAACTCGAACATCATAGTCCACTTTGGTGTGTTGCTAATGTATGGCGTGCGTCGTACGTAACAAAGTTCCTTCGATTTTTTTTTGGTTTTTGTTTCTGTTTCACACTCATTGTCAGGGAGGCAGGTTGGTGCAGTTCTTCTCCGTCATTTTACCGCAACATATTATCGTTGTGTTGATCGTGTAAAAGAGTCGAAAGACCTTACTTTTACCCGCCACCCCTCAAAAAAAAAAAAAACTAAACAAAAAAAATCGAAAGTGCGCGTCCCCGGGGTTAGCCGTACACCCCCTTTCCCTCTTCCTCCAGCAGGAGGCTCCTATGTGCTCGCCGTTTCTCTTGCAGCCATGAGCAAGGCGGAGGAGGCTGCTGCCGGCCGGGAGGATGCGAAGATGGCATCCTGCGCGGCGGTGGACTGCACCGAGATGGGCGACTGGGTAAGGTGCATTATTTTGTTGGGGTAGGGGAGTGTGGTGCATGGGGTTGAAATGGAGACGACACGCTGCTTGGCCTTGATATTTGTGCGCGTGAACCCGCCTGTCAGTATCATTTGCGAGGAGGGAATTGTTGCCGATTAGGAAGTGGAACGACCGCTTTTCAGCATTCGCTTGCATAATGACACGTATAGGAGCTAACTTCTCGCAATTGGTTAGAATAATTTTACAAAAGCATATTTTTATGGAGGTGCTGTCTCGTGCTGGTAGCATTGTGGCCTAGTTAGCATGTTGGATTTGCAAGTCTGAGGTTGCCGGTTCGAATCTAGTGTCCTGCCTTCCTGTTTGCGTTTTCTCTTCTATTGACTAGCGACCAGTCAAGGCTGCACACTAAAAGTTGTTTTTTTTTCCTCAAACATGCTGTAGTTTCATTGAAAATTCCAAATGTACATCGATGTGAATGTGAGTTTGTTCTAATTAGTGACCTGCAGTTGGCTTGCCACCATTCCGAAGTGTGCCCCGCTTCTCTTGCCACGTGCATTTTTTTTTTTAATTTTAAGATATGATACACGTTATGTTCATTTGGTACTCAACGTTTACTCGGTGTGAATGTGAATGTAAATGTTTAGTTATATGTGCCCTGCAATTGGCTGGTGACCAGTCAAGTGTGCCTCACCTTTCACGCCAAAACTTGTTTTGTATTCTTTTATGATGTATTTTTCAAAAAGATGCATGTTGGGTTCATTGAAGATGCAAACAATTTCTTGGTGTGTGTGTAAGTGTAAATGGTTGTCTGTAAGTCCTCTTTGAATAGCTGGTGACCAGTCCGGGGTGTACCCCACTTCTTTCGTCTTTTGCTTTTGTTTGTTTCACTTGTCTATAAGTACTCTTCGACTGACCAAGCGACCAGTCTAGGGTGCACCGTGCTTCTCTCACTAAATTCTTTATTAATTTATTTTATTTGTCCCCCAAAAGGTGCATGTTAGTTTCATTGAAAACTCTTAATTATCCATGGTGGGATAATGAATGATGATTTTGAATATTTTTGTTCTTCAATACATACCCTGCAATTAGCTGGTGATCAATCCAGGCTGTACCCCGCTTCTCTCACCAAAAATAATCCGCCCGCCACAGGCTGCATCCCACTTGGCACCCTACTGAGGATAATTGGTATCGAAAATGGATAAATGGAATTCGTTCCTGTTCGACACCCTGCAGGTGTGTGTGTGTGTGTGTGTGTGTGTGTGTGTGTGTGTGTGTGTGTGTGTGTCTTTATTGACTGAACCTGTTCTCCCACTTTGCAAGCGTGCCCTAATAAGGCCCAGGCTGTTGTAGTTGTTGTTGTGCAGTGTGACGCACTTCTTCGCTCCATCTTCATCCCCTGCACGTTTTATCGTTTCCTCTCCATCGTCGTCTTCACATGTAAGTTTTGCCTCCTCATATATTTTAATATATCTATTCAATCTATACGTGCTGTGCTGCTGCTGCTGCTGCTCCGAGATGGATTCCGGCTGCCTTCGATGTAATTTAGACGTGTCAGAAAATGTAGGTCGGAGTGGCAGAGGCGAAAGTCAGCAGATTATTGTTATGCAACAACGTCAGCCTCTTGCTCTCTAATCTCCCTGCTGGGAAAATGTTGGATTCATGTTGAAGAAAGATTTTTTTTTTTTTTTTTTTTTGCTTTACCGTGTGTTTGATTGTAATTGTTAAGCTTTGTCAATATTGCCACATAAGTTGTTGTTGTTCACACTAGGGTGAAAGAGGAAAACTGCTTTGCCCGATTCACATTTTTTGTCGTGATGAAAAAGTTTGAAAAATAAACAAAATCCGATTTTATTTTTCAATCCCAACATTAAAAGCGCAATTTAATATGTGATCATTTTTTCAATATCCTCTTCCCATGGATTTTTTTTTTTTTACACACATAAATACATAATTCAAATTTATTATATTGTACATACATTTTTTTTGGTCTTATAATGTAGATTCACGCTACTATAAAGGCAATTGAACCATGAATTTAGATGAAAGATGGTTCTTCCACTTCATTTAGATATTAACTTAACACTTTAACTTGCAGTCTTTTAAACATTTACCGTATTTTCCGCACTAAAAGGCGCACCTAAAAGCCTTCCATTTTCTTAAAAACTCAAAGCGCCTTAAAATCCGATGCACCTTGTATATATATGGTCATTATGGTAATATTTCGACCCCAAAATGGCTCCTTGCTCGAGACATGCTGACAATGCAGAGTTCAAACTTAAGGCGATCGGTTTCGCAGTTGAACACGGAAGAGTTCAATGTTAACGAGTCAATGTTATAACTTGCTGTTGGTTAGTGAACTGTGTCGCTGCTTTATTGAATAGGTTTTACTGACATCTGATCGTTCTGTTGGCGTTTCCTTGAGCGTACCTCCATCTAGTGGAGGCATTGTAGATTGCGTCTTATAATGCCCAATGTTTGAAAAAAATTACAAAATAGTCCATTCATTGAAGGTGCGCCACATAATCCGGTGTGCCTTTCAGTGTGGAAAATACGGTACTGCGACAACTTCAGAAAATTCTACCCAACAAGAGTTGCGTAAACACAAGTCAGTAAGTCATAAATCCAATTCCAACAATAAAGCAACACAAATCTGGGTAGCCTTATCACTTCAACTTCTCACGTTTCATCAAACGATGACATGTGAACTCTTCCTCAGCACTGATGTTGAAGTTGTGTTGACGCTGTATAAAGCAAAACTATCTCCCTACACTCATGACAAAAATTAGCTTATTGGGTGACCTCGCTAGCCAGCTTGTTTACTGGTTGACTTGTTCGCTCTCTTCTCTGAAACGTGTTTACATTAAAGTGAAGCAAATTCGAGGCGACAATTTCCGACCTCGGGGGTTTCGTATCAGAGCCACATGTGGTATGAAGTTGAACACCTGACACCCATCCCTCTTAGCTAACTAGGCGGAATGTCGCCGCGTGGCATGTCTCTGCTGTCCTCACAGTTCTCCTCTTTGTTCTACCTTCATGCAAAATGAAGACCAAATAATGCTGAAATTGTGTGATTGACGACCACTCCCGCTTGTTTGCAGAAACAAAACAACATGACGGATGACCCGCAGGCGTCGCTATCACCCACGCTGGTAGGCCCCGCCATTCAATGTCGGGACGTTTGCCGCTCGTATGGAAAACTGCAAGTTCTCAACAACCTCAACCTCACCGTGCCACAGGGACAAATGTGAGTCCAAAATGTAAAAATCCATTCATAATAACGACAATAAATGTATTCAGTCTTGCCTCAGTGGCAATAGTATGCGACTTAATCATAGTCATCATACTCATAAATGTCAACAGTCGTACGACGACTGTCCGGTATTGTAATTTTATTCAGGTTGCCGTCATGCATGAAGCTTATGCAGTCATGATCTGTTGACTTTAGGACAGCGTAACGTAACCAACGCTGTTGCATATTTTCCCTCAAAGTAAACAAACTTTATTCTGTGAAAAAAAAAAACAACAACAACAACTGCAGATGTTATAAATGTGACATTTTGGGTTGTTTGATTTCTATCTTGGCAGCTACGGCCTCCTGGGCCCCAGCGGCTGTGGCAAGACCACGATGTTGAAATGCATTGTGGGAACTTTGAGCATCTCTCGGGGTTACATCGGTGTGCTGGGAAAGCCGCCGGCGTTCCCTGGCCACGGCGTGCCGGGCAGGATGGTGGGATACATGCCCCAAGTAAGCTTGGGATGCCTTGAAAAATACATTTTTTTTTTTCAAAATGCGTCGTGAGTCACATGTTGCGTCATGTAGGAGCTGGCCTTGTACAACGAGTTCACCATCGGCAACACGCTCACCTTCTACGGCCGAATCCACGGGCTGACGTTGAGGGAAACCCAGGCCCGCATCAACTTCCTCATTGAGTTCTTGGATCTACCGCAGAAGGACCGTGTGGTTCGCAATCTCAGGTAAAAAAATTATTTATTTTTGCCTTCACTGTCAAATTTAATTTGGCTGTAATGAAAAAACTCATGTAAAACAATACGAAACGTCTCAAATGAACTTTATTCCAGAATATGTTCATCATTGAAAAAAAAAAAGCCATTTATTCGAGAAAAGTGTGTTAATATTCTTGAAAAATTCGACTTTTTCTAAAAACAAAACCAAATATTATATTCTCCAAAAGAGCACACATTATTTCTTGGAGAATAACTTTATTTTTCCAAAAATGGCTTTCTTTCTTTACTCATTTAATAAGACTACACTAGGAAAAAAAAATGTGAACCATGCGTTTGTGTTGACGTTGCAGCGGCGGCCAGAAGCGAAGGGTTTCTCTGGCAGCGGCGCTGCTTCAGAATCCCGAGCTGCTCATCCTTGATGAACCCACTGTGGGCGTGGACCCGGTGCTCAGGGCCAAGTATGTGCAAATGACTTTATCTCTTCTCTACATTCTAAGTGCCACTCATACTCATCCATTTGCAATTCATGGATGCAAGCACTCTGAGTAAGTGTAAGCGGACGCCCGCAGGAGAAATGGAGCTGCGTGCAAGCATGGTACTATTAGTTCCTTGTTGCTTCTCCAACCTAGAGTAAATGAAAACATGAAACCTGACACGCTCCCCCGAGCTCGATGCGGCACACCGGTTGGCTTCTACTTTGAATATCATCACTCGAGTACAACGTGGACCGTCATGCGTGTCCGTTTACAAGCAACGACTTGAGTCTGGTTGAAAGTGAAAAACCCTCCGGCCTTTGACAGCAACCGTTCGCTGTGAGGTGGAGCAGTGTACAATCATTTATTTGGACTTGCAGAGTCATCTGTATAACCAGCTACCTGTCCTTCTGTCTCTCTGTCTGTCTGTCCATCTGTCCGTTTTCAGTGAATGCTGCTTTCAGATGTAATTGGATTGCTACATGATCCATACATAGCTGGATGAATGATAAGCATGTCGAATGTGCGTTCACGACACAATAATAACATCATCACAAATTCACTACAGTGGTACCTCCACTTAACAAACGTCTCTTCATACGAAATTTTCAAGTTACGAAACGCCTCAACGGGAAAAAAAAAATTGCCTCTTGTTACAAAAGAAATTTCACTTTTGTTTTTGTTAGCCAGTCTATGGCATTTTGTTAAGTGCAGTGTAGTTGTCATTAATGTTTAAGCACAATACATTTACATTTAATCTTTAAGGTACAATATGTATTTTTCTTGTGCAGTAGCTTTTTATGTGAATCATTATTTCAACGCACTCTTACTGTATGTCTATTTATGTAGATTGATATATAGATAGAGATAGATGGATATGTGTCTATGCAGTGTCCTCGTCATTCGCCCCTTGGGCCATGAGGCATTCTGATGTGAATCACCCAGAAAATGTTATTTATTGTGCAATAATCTAATTGTAACATGTATTTGTTACATACTTTGATGCATTTTTATGCTTTAGAAAAAAATTCTGCCTAATTTTTGAGGGGGCTTGGAACGGATTAGTGCATTTACATGGAAAACGCAACTCTACTTATAAAAATTTTCTAGTTCAGAAATTTCTTCCAGAACCAATTAATTTCGTAAGTAGAGGTACCACTATATTAGGAAAAAAAATAACTACAGTTTAGTAATAAACTTTTATTCATCCAGTGGGTTGATTCTCAATTTTTTTGTCATTTCCTTTTTCCAGGATTTGGCAGCATCTGGTGGACATCGTCAAAACGGGCAAAGTGTCAGTCATCATCACCACCCACTACATCGAGGAAGCCAGACAAGCCAACGTGGTGAGGAAATTATTTGACAAAAAAAAAAAAAAAAGTTAATTTTCTATGGAAAATAGTTTAACGTTGATATGCCATCGCAACAGGAGGTGATATGTAAGTGCCTACAAGTACACTACATTTCCATTTGTGTTATAATATACAATAACTATCTTAGCATGTGACCTGCGGCTATCTGGAATAATTCCTTTGTGAACCAGTTAATCCATCAAAATTGAATGATTTGCAGTCATAAATTTACTCTTAAGATTTCTTCAGATAACGGCCAACGTTGAGCTTTGTGTAGAAAATCTGTTACAGAGTCAGTGTGACTCTGTGTTTGGTTCAGGCGGTTCAGAAAGATTAAGTTAGAAGTAACACACAAAACTACTTAGCGATTGTCTGGGCTTGTTGGGGGGGGGCTGCATTTTTTTTTTAAACGTAGCCCACATAACTAGAAAATATCAGCAGTCAAAAGTCCGCTTCACCCAAAAAAAATCTACTTCCACTAAATCAACAAGTTAACACAAAAAATAACCACAATGGCTCGAAATAATCCACAGGATGAAATCGATTTCTGTGTCCTCTAATTAATGTGATCGCGCCTCGACGGTTATTCATGATAACCACCACCTTGCAAAAAGAAACAAAAGGACTGGAAATAATACACTCTGGTGTCCCTAGAAGCTTTTACTGGAGCATGCCAACGTTGTAATATTTCAAAGTGAAACAAAAAACCAAACAAACACACATGCATAGACACAAAGTCACGCTTGTTTCTCTGTCGCAACAACAACAACAAAAAAAAAAACAGTGGCTCATTACAATGAAAGAGGCACGAGTTGGCCGGTCAAACCAGTCAGGTGGCTGGGATTTTTTTGTGACTTAACACGGGCATGAATGTCAGGGAAATGCTTGCGAAGAGAAAGGCGGTCACAACATGCGTGCATACACGTCGTCTTGGATTTGCTGAGTGTACATAAAATATGCCTATGAGTATTGTTCTATGATCAGTTTGTGTTGCGTCACCACTGGTGTTCAAATGTCCACTGCTTCAATAACTCCAGCAACAGTGATGCTAGTTTTGTTAGCCAGTCCATGGCATTTTTCATTGTGCGTTAGCATTAAGCTAATGGACTTTCCAAAAGCAAGATTATATGGTTTGGCACAGTGTGATTGAAAGCAAAACGAAACGTTGAATAGAATATTTGTTCTCCTCGTCCAGGTTGGCCTGATGAGGAACGGCTGCTTGCTGGCTGAAGGAACTCCAGAAGCAGTCATGAAGCTGCAAACCTCCACCGTGAGTTGCAAGTCGGTACCCACGGCTGATTATGTGGACTAGACTAGTGATCCCTGATAAGTACTGTGCAAAATCACGGAATTGATTGTTGCACAAGCGTGTTTTGTCTTTTGTTATTTCCATTTGTGTTATAATATACAATAACTATCTTAGCATGTGACCTGTGGCTATCCGGAATAATTCCTTTGTGAACCGGTTAATCCTTCAAAATTGAATGATTTGCAGTCATAAATTTACTCTTAAGATTTCTTCAGATAACGGCCAACGTTGAGCTTTGTGTACAAAATCTGTTACAGAGTCAATGTGACTCTGTGTTTCTTTCAGGCGGTTCAGAAAGATTAAGTTAGAAGTAACACACAAAACTACTTAGCGATTGTCTGGGCTTGTGGGGGGGGGGGCTCCTTTTTTTTTTTTAAACGTCCGATTTCTGTGTCCTCTAATTAATGTGATCGCGCCTCGACGGTTATTCATGATAACCACCACCTTGCAAAAAGAAACAAAAGGACTGGAAATAATACACTCTGGTGTCCCTAGAAGCTTTTACTGGAGCATGCCAACGTTGTAATATTTCAAAGTGAAACAAAAAACCAAACAAACACACATGCATAGACACAAAGTCACGCTTGTTTCTCTGTCGCAACAACAACAACAAAAAAAAAAACAGTGGCTCATTACAATGAAAGAGGCACGAGTTGGCCGGTCAAACCAGTCAGGTGGCTGGGATTTTTTTGTGACTTAACACGGGCATGAATGTCAGGGAAATGCTTGCGAAGAGAAAGGCGGTCACAACATGCGTGCATACACGTCGTCTTGGATTTGCTGAGTGTACATAAAATATGCCTATGAGTATTGTTCTATGATCCGTCTGTGTTGCGTCACCACTGGTGTTCAAATGTCCACTGCTTCAATAACTCCAGCAACAGTGATGCTAGTTTTGTTAGCCAGTCCATGGCATTTTTCATTGTGCGTTAGCATTAAGCTAATGGACTTTCCAAAAGCAAGATTATATGGTTTGGCACAGTGTGATTGAAAGCAAAACGAAACGTTGAAGAGAATATTTGTTCTCCTCGTCCAGGTTGGCCTGATGAGGAACGGCTGCTTGCTGGCTGAAGGAACTCCAGAAGCAGTCATGAAGCTGCAAACCTCCACCGTGAGTTGCAAGTCGGTATCCACGGCTGATTATGTGGACTAGACTAGTGATCCCTGATAAGTACTGTGCAAAATCACGGAATTGATTGTTGCACAAGCGTGTTTTGTCTTTTGTTTTTGTTAGCCAGTCTATGGCATTTTGTTAAGTGCAGTGTAGTTGTCATTAATGTTTAAGCACAATACATTTACATTTAATCTTTAAGGTACAATATGTATTTTTCTTGTGCAGTAGCTTTTTATGTGAATCATTATTTCAACGCACTCTTACTTGTTCAAGCTAGTAATAGCTGATCATCATTTTTTAAACTTGTGTACTGGTCCATTGTGTGTATCCTATTGTAGACTTTGGAGCACGCCTTCCTGCAGCTGTGCGAAACCTCAGACCAGACGTGTGTGAAGCAGAGCTCTGGTTCCCAAGACGATGGGTTGGGGAAAAGCCAGTCGTTCGAGAGCGGGAGGGACGAGAGCCGACCCATTCTTGCCAACGTGGCCAAAGCCACCGAGGAAGTCGTCTGCCATACAGGTGTGGATTCATCAGGAATGTTGTCGTTGGTGTCGAGTAAAGCAAAATGTCAGAGGTGGGGGACTCCCTTCACGTGATTTGACTCCAGTCAAACTTTTTACAAAAAAAACTGTTTGAGACCATTAAAATTGTTAGCAAACGTCATTGCTGCTGTTTGCGACTTTGAATGAACCCACACACTTGCAAACTTTCGCCGGTCATTGAGATACGGCTTTAAAGGGTGAAAACTCCCACAACATCAATGCTAAGTTCCTCAGCCTGCCTATGGCGTTTTTCATTGTGTGTTAGCATTAAGCTAGCTTACTTTTGTCACGCAAAGTTATGCGGTTTGGTTTACTACATAACATAATTTAATGCTTTACTTTTATGCTTAGTTTGAGGGTAATCGTCAACTGGGAGTGGCTGTAAACAGTTTGAAGCAAGCTTTATTTGTTTTCGAATTTTGGGGGGTAACTCGTATTTCAAGGTACCACTGTGAATGCTCCAACAGCTTTCCATACATTATGGTTAACACTCGAGCCTCATGTGACTGCTTATTGCTGAATGATTATGATTTCATAGTGGACTGGAAGGTGCGACTCAGGCACGTGTTTCCCAAGTTGAGGAACATTGCCGCCCTCACAATCAAAAACCTGCTGCGGATGAGGAGGATGCCGGGGTACGTCGCCACCACGGGAAGTCAGCCCATTTGTCACCATATCTGACTTACGGTGTTCTTCGCAGCTCCTTGTGTTTCCAGTTCCTGCTGCCGGTCATCCAGATGTCTCTCATCTGTTTGTGCGTTGGAGGAGACCCAAAGGGAATCCAAGTTGCCGTGGTCAACAATGACACCTCCCCACTCGCTTTCGGTCACTCGCTGCTCTCCTTTTTGGACAACAGCAGTGTGGAGCGGGTACCATTTCAAGTGCACATACACGCATGCAGCAGAGACTCTGTAAATTCTACAGATGACCCAGGCTAAAATTAGCTCCTCCCCGACATAAAAGGATGATTGTCTCGCAGTGAAGATGTATCATACTCATTTGACACCAGTTTCGACTTTTATCACTACTGCCACATGGCATGATCCAAATCCCCGCCAAAAGCAAATTAAAGTACCAAATTTCGCATTTTGTATCTAACATGCTGTTGTCTGATTTGACAGGTCAGCTTGTCTCATGCGGAGGCTTTCGAAGGGGTCTATGATGGAAAGTACTGGGGCGTCATTGGCTTTCGCAAGGACTTCAGCAGTTCCCTAATGAATAGGTACGCACCGTCCGGACTCTTATTTACACACACTGATTGAAATCGGTATCATTAGTCCCGTGTCCTTCCTCACATTAACAAGAATTAAAAATTATCCACTCCAGAACTACACCCCAAAAATACTACAGCAACAAACAAAATCTATTTCAAATTCCTTTATCGACAAAAACAACATCACAACACGACATGAAACATGCTAATTCCACAGGCATTGTGCTGCTTATTTTCTAGTGGAAATGTCCTTCAGGGGGCAGTATAGTCCACACGGACACGCGATACATACACTATATTTGGTGATGAAACACAAAAGACTTTCACTGAGTTGCAATCATTTTTTGCAGATGATAAAGAATATGTTCCAGTGAGTATTATTGTGTGCTCTGTCTTCATGTGTTGCTTCTGCTAATAAGTCTCTTACAGGTTTGTTATTGTGACAAAAATGCTAGTTTTATTAGCCAGTGTAGGGTGTTTTGCATTATGTGTTAGCATTAAGCTAGCCGACGTTGGTAATTTAGTTCCTTGTAAGTCAAGGCATCACTGTATAATTAAGCCTTTGAGTACATATGTTTCCTCAGCAAAAAAAAACAAAAAAAAAAAAAAACAAGCAGCAGCGTTAGTTTGTTGCCTGACTCAGTATCTTGTTGCGTCGTTGTGCTGTTTACCTGCGATCCTCTCAAACTCGTGCGTCACGAGAACGCCGCCACACCAGAGAACGCGGCCGCCAAATGCCAAAGTGTCACACTTGATGGAATTCTAGCTGCGGGGCAGACTCATAAGGTCATGTGACAGGATTTGGCAACAAAAGCAGTGTGTAGGTGTGAAGGAGCCCAAAAACGCTCCACCACTTCCTTTTGTGCAATCACATGACATTATTTTAGTTGTTTATTTTTACTTCCTGGGGGTTTGCGAACTTTTTATATCCTCCTTCCACACATTATTTGAATCTAAACATCTGCACTATGAATAATCTTGGTGATGTTGCAGGATGTTATTGAAGAACGTGTCCAAGGAGGTGATAGATAGAGGTTCAGTGCACGTCTGGTTGGACCAGACCAGTAAGTAGATGGCTCTACATTTGACTATGCAATCTGTTGCGATGCGACCTTCAAGGTTAAAAAAAAAAGACATTTTTGTTTTTTCAGACCACCAAATTGCCTTGATGCTGCAGCGAAAATTGTACGAGGCCTTTCAGGTGAAGATACTTTTTACTTGTTCAAAAGAAGTCTGCAAGTTGAAAATCGTTTTTCATAAATCCTCATTTGACGGCAAATAAAAATAAATACAGGCACTCCCCAGCCACTGTATTAATACAGTCTCATCCAGAGATTTTTCAACTAGTTTAATTTAAAGAACTTCCCAGATCTTATTTCCTTTTTTTTTTTTTTTTTTAGTTTTGTGCTGATTTCATGTTGAATTTTTCCTATAATTTAAATTGTTAAAAACACTGCAGATTTGATTATGATAATAACTCACTTTAAATCCTTTTGTAATTGTTTTTTAAAATATAATAGTTTTTAAATATATTACGTAATAACTACTGTACTTTAATTTTAATACAATTGCAGTGAACCACCATTTTCAAACCACTTTATGGGCTCATATCTGCCCCCTTTAACTAGCCAAAAATGACCAAGCTACACAAAAAAAAAAAAAACATGTCACAAATGACCAAAAAAAAAAAAATTCCTGTGGAAAATGCCAGTTTTTGATCCAACATTTATATTCTCTGAATCGCTCTTTAATTAATCCTATAATCCTATTGGTTTTCCATTATGAGTTATGATTTTGTCCAGTAGATGGCGCTGCTTTCCCCTTCATTTAACAGTATGTTTCTTGTACAGGCTTTTGTGGAGAGCAAGATGGGCAGCATGGCCGACACGTATGCCTTGCCCATCAAGGTGATGAACGAGACACTATTGCATTCGTGTAGCACGACGACAACATCTTTTCTAACACTCATTTCCACTGCTCTTTAGTTTGAAGAGGCCATTTATGGCAGCCATAACACAGACTTTACGACATTTGTGATGCCGGCCGCTGTTCTCAGGTCAGTTGGATGTTGAATCGCTTATCACTAATACATTTAAAGACCCGATGTTTGAAATGACACAGTAAGACAAAAATCGCACAGTAAGACAAAAATTATATTTGCATGGCCAAAGATGAAATGGTTCGTAAAAGGGAAGCGAGGTCGATACAAATGGACAATGCTAAAATTCTATTTTTTATGTTGTCATTTTCCAGCATTACCTTCTACTTGGCCTTGGGACTGACCGCCCTCTCTTTTGTCCTGGAGAAAAAAGAGGGTCTTCTGGACCGATGCTGGGTTGCAGGTAACAACTTCCACACTGCTCATAAAGTACCTGCAAACCTCCCCAAAAATATAATAATAATAATCAAAGCTGTCTATTGGGGTGGATTGTATAGTTAGCTGTATATGGATGTGTCAATCAATCTACAGTGCTTTAATAAGAAGCATTTCAAGGGACAACCACTGAAGCCATGCAGTATGATACTAAAACATCAATTGCTCTTCCCTTTGATATCCTGATGGTATCATTTGCATCTTGCGATACAAAATCAAATCACAGGTGCCAAATGTCCATGTCATCATGAGTCAGCAGTACTTAAATTTAAAAAAAAAAAAAAAAGTACGGTAATTGGGGTGGTCATCATTAAAAGTAAAACGACCTATCATCGATATTGTGATGTATCGTTTTCTCATGATACAGTATCGATACTGAAATTATCGGTCAACGATACTTTGAGCGATGTGTTTGAAGGGATAAACATTTTGGCCGATTTTCATAGAAATATGATTTCAGTCCTCTAATGCTGTGCATTTATCAGGTGTGAGCTCGCTGGAGACGATGCTGGCTCACCTTTTCTCTCAGCTGCTCATCATCAGCGTCCAAATCATCCTCATGCTGCTGTTTGTCCTGCTCGTCTTCAAGGTGCCGGATAACAACACACGCTACAAATATGTTTCACATTTTCATGTCCCTGAAAAGGTGAAAAGAGTTTCCCGCTTTTGTCTGTGTGCAGATGCCAAATGAAGGCTCCCTGGTTTTGATCGTGCTGCTGATCGTGCTGCAGGGCATCACCGGCATCTCCTTTGGCCTCGTCATCTCCGCCGCCATCGACGACGAGCAAAACGCTAACCAGGCCGCGCTCGGACTCTTCTACCCCAACCTCATCTTGAGCGGTAAGCCGCACGCAACCGAACATTCTTTTAAACACATGAGTAAATTCTCCAAGAGTATACATATGTAAGAATATCAATCAGCCTTTGAAAAAATTTTTTTTACTATTATTGGACAAAAAAAATACAACTTTATTCTGGAGAAAAATACAGCCCTATTCATAAACAAATATATATAAATGAAATCTTGAAAATGGATTCTTGAAAAATTTCTGAAGTAAACACGAATATATTTTTATCCATCCAACCATTCTTCAAATTATCCAAAATGGATGACTGTATTTTTTTTTTTTTAAGTTTTAATTTTCTGCCATAATTGGTGTCTTTGTCTACAACATGTATTGCTGAAAGTTTCAAATGACTTGTTCCTTTAGAAATGTAACGTACGACGAGAGGAGCGCTTTCACTTGCAATGTTGCGTTTTGTGTTGTTACCCAACATGTTTGTCATGTCAGGTATCATCTGGCCTGTGGAGTGTATCCCCTACCCGCTGCGCTACCTCAGCCTGGCCCTACCTCAGACCTATGCCTCCGAAGCACTGAGATGCATCATGTACAGAGGTACGCGCAGCACACACACACGTACACACACACACACACACACACAGGTTCGATTCCAGCTCTGGCCATCCTGTATGAAGTTAGCATGTTCTCCCCCGTGCCTGTGTAGGTTTTCTCCGGGTGCTCTGGTTTCTTCCCACATTCCAAAAGCATGCATGGCAGGTGAATGGAGCGCTCTAAATTGTCCAGGTGTGAGTGTGAGCGTGGATGGTTGTTCGTCTATGTGTGCCCTGCGATTGGCTGGCAACCAGTTCAGGGTGTACCCCGCCTACAGCCTGAAGACGGCCGGGATAGGCTCCAGCACGCCCGCCATGCCATTCGTGAAAATAATATATATGTTCACAAAAATAACTATTTTATTCATGGAAAAAAAATCCAGAAATATATGACGTTATTCTTTAAGAATTTCACTTTATTCCTGAAGAAATGACAAACAACTTTTTTTCATGAAAACATAAGATTTAATTTTTCATAAAAAACGTTTTTCTCCCCCAAAAAATAAATTATTTTATTTTAAACAAAATTCCTCATTCTTGTAATTTTTTTTCACACCAAAAAAGTTATAAACCCTAAAAAAAACAATTCGCTATAGCTAATAAATAAATGAATATAAATACTGTGTCATACAAAAAAATGAGTGAATGGGCCTCTTTACACCGTGTTGCTGAGGTTTTCTATCTCGTGCGTGTCCCATCAGGTTGGGATCTGACTCACATGATGGTTTGGCGAGGCTTTGTTGTCACTCTGGGCTGGAACTCGTTCTTCATCATCGTGGCAACCCTCATCTTGAAATTCAGGAAGTGAACACCTTTTACACACACACACACACACACACACACAAAGAATGCCTAGATGTACTGTATGTAGACGCTTTTACTGTACATGAGGGCTGCGTAAAGTATGGCCGCCATCATTTGTTGTTCCAGCCCCATTGAGTATTTAAATGATCCAAAGTCCTGGAATGTTGTTACATTCAATTACTTGGGTGTTATTTTCTAAAACTGTATTCATTCATATTTCCCTATGTTCTTTTAGCCATTCATCTGATTAAAAAAATCGGTTCATTCATTTATTGTAAAATATATGGCTGCTGTCGGGCGGAATCTAACTCCAAAATCACCGCTATTCAGAAAACACCCCGTCATTAATTCACCCCCCAAAAAAACCAAAAAAAACCCCCACAAAATGATCTTGCTGTCATCGAGTCAAAAAATATGGACACATTTAGTAATGTATATTCAAATATATCTAACCTAACGATTTTCTGTCCTTAGTCTTTAAAACGTCAACGACAACATGCTGCACAGCTCCTGCCAAGATTTGATTAAATAATTGTTACTATAATATGGATTGATTTTTGAAAGTGATCATTTAATTTTATTTGGAAAATAAACCGCCTGATGTGTCATCTTAATTTAGCCATTTTTCCCATCAAAATTGGTTAATTCAAACGTGAATTTTTAATCGATCTTTTATTCATGGCTATTATTAAAAATAATAAACTAACAAATATTATTAAAATAATCATTGTTGTACATACACATGTGTATTTCTATTTGGTCAATAAGAAACAATATCCAAATTAAAACGTGACTGAATTCTTATTTTAGGATGAAAATCAACTGTTTTATAAATCGTGCGTACATCTTTCAACTTATCCATTCAATAATGTTCTACATGCATCTTGTTATTGCCTCGCAATCATGGTGCATAGAGGCAACCTAAGCAGTCCAAAGTGGAAGAATGTATGCTGATGATACATGTGGGACATAAGTTTATGATCATGCAGTATTTTCTTCAAGTGAACTTTATGATGGAAAATTGTAACGTCATATTTTGATGTTTTTTTTTGTTTTGTTTTGTTTTGTTTTTTTCACGCAACTGTTTTGCTTTTATTGCTGTCGTTCCACTTTGCCGGACAGAGTGGATGCGATTTGTGGGTCAGCTGACCACATCTGCGACTTGTGACATAATGTGACATCATCATGTCATGAACATGCAAACGTCCATCACGCTTGGTGTTGTTCGTATGATGGATTGTTTACTCCAATGACAATAAAATCCCCAAAAAATAAAAAAAATACAGTGCTACCTTTTGTTGTTTGTGGCCATATTTATGTATTCATTTTCGAATAAAATCTGTTATATTATTTTATATTATTTTGTGACAGGGTGTTTTTAATTGTTTCAGAAGTTCAAGGTGCAAGAGTGGACTGCCCCCTATCTGTCATGATTAGAACTACACCTTCATTCAGTCGTCGAAAAACTTTCTACACGTAATTTAAAAATGGCAAACATTGAGTTAGCCCATTCGAGTAATCAGTGGGTGAGTTAAATTCGCAGAATTTCAAAATAAAGGCCCTTTCTAGTCGATATTCAATACCGTCATTACTTTTGAATTCAGAGTGATATTAATATCTGTCTGTTATCACTCAACCATGCCACATCTGGCGGACATGAACGAGATTAGCCCAGGATTCCAGTCAGGATGTTTCATGAAGCCCTAGTGTTCTATTTCGAAAACAGGCCCTTTAAATTCTGTATCTCATCACATAGGATTTTGAAATGATACTGAAAAAAAATCCCACGATATCCATCGATAATATCAAACGTTGAATTCCAAAATAAAACGTCTTTGAATTCATTGCTGGACTAGCCCAGTGATGCAAACCAGGAAGTTTCAGGAAGATCTAGTGTTGCATTTGAAAATAGAAGCCTTTCAATTGTGCATATGTCGCTCATTACATATGCTTTCAAAATGACGTTAAAGTGAGGTATCTTATGGTGAATTTCACAATAAGAGCTTGTATAGGTCCTATACAGTGTTGATGAACAGTACATCAACACTCTACGTTAGACTCTAAGGAAGTTGTAATTCGAGATACGACCACAAGAGAGCGGAATATCATCACTATACATTTTTACAACATATTGGACATGATTGCAAGTTATGAGAAATGGATATAAAAAGGTGACGTACACGTTTATTCTCAAACATATGACTACGTTATTTTTAAAAATAAGGGTTATTTAAAAAAATTACATTTTTATCGATTACGTAGACAAATTTATTTAAAAAAAACGCCATTCTTACAAAAGTCTTCTTGGAAAAATATTTCCAAGGAAAAATTTTTTTTGAAATATTAATTTATTGTCAAAAAGAATACGGGAAGCCTTTTAAATTCAAATACAAAGATTCCAAAATTTGTTTTGATGAAATGAAAAATATTCAAATTAAATGTGATGATTAAAAATAAATCTGACTGTAATGAAAAATAGTAGACATTTTTTGTTTAAAAAAAATCTATCCATGTTTGACTTTTTTTAAAAAGAAAATGACACGTGTGTGTGTGTGTGTGTGTATATATGTATATATATATATATATATATATATAAAAGGACCTTATTTTGGGGAAGAAAATACAACTGCAGTTTTCAGTTTTTGCTGAAATATAAGCACGTGTGTTTTGACTGGAAAACAGCTCCTGTGTTGAAGGTCAATGCTGTGAAAAAAGAAGGCTTATTACACAGCCGCCTCATTAGCATTTTTACAACCTCGTCAAATATCCCGACGCTTTTTACGCTGATGATTTGCAAAAGCAATTACTTTTTTCCCCCACCTTCAAATGTACCTGAGTCATGAGAGACTTTACGCATCACATGCTCAAATCTTTTCATGAAAGACAAGCCAAGCAGTTTTATTTTTCAAAAGTGGCTTTCACAAACACACATACCCAAATGCATTTCGAGAGAGAGAGAGAGAGAGAGAGAGAGAAAGAAAAAGAGAGAAAGAGAGAGAGAGGTTGGGTTTTCATTTCCACCTGTTGTCGCCAGCCCTGTTCCCTGTGTCAACCAAAAATATATATATTTTTTATGACTGATTCATTTGTCTTTATTCCTGAAAAAGTCAAACTTTATTCAATATTACCCTTGAAAAATGTGACTTCATTCTTGAGGAAAAAATCCAACATTACTGTGGATTAATTTGTCATTATTCTTGAAAAAAACATGGGGGGAAAATCTGCTTTATTCTTGAAAAATGTGTCCTTATACTTGAAAAAAGAACTTTATTTGGCATTATTCTTGAAAAAAACGGGACTTCATTAGTCACCAAAAAATGCTCTTATTTTACTTTTTTCAAAAAAATTCAACATTATTGTGGATTCATTTGTCATTATTCTTGAAAAAAAACATGACTTCATTCTTTAGTCACCAAAAAATGCTCTTATTTTACTTTTTTCTTTATTCTTGACTTTATTATAAAGAATGACCTTATCCCCTGAAAAAAATATATTCTTGAAACTATGACTAATCTTAAAAATATGACTTGATTCTCAAAAATATGACTTTGTGAAAAAGAAAAAAAAAACCTACCCCACCATTTTTTTGGTAATAATTACTTAAAAAATATATTATTTTATTATGACTCGTTGATTTCCAGCACTGATCTTTGAATCAATACAAAATGAAGGCCTTTAGTTAATTGGACCAAAAAAAAAAAAAAAAAGGACACACTTTGTTTGTTAATGAAGGTGCTGAAGTCCAAAGCGGCCGTCTGTCCACCCCATAAATTAGTTTCCCTGCCTGGACCGCATCGCCACGACGACAACATGCTCCATTGCTGTGGCAACTGAGCGGTCGCTGGTGTGGCCTCTATTTTTGCACGTTGTCACGGGAGACGCTCGGCTGTCTGTCCACCACCGAGCGCCTCTGCACTTTGGAGTTCACAGAGTGCGCTAGATACATTCTCAGAACATCTCTTCTCAAAACGTAGTTCTTGAAAAAAAATGACTTCATTGTTCAACCCATTTGACGTAAACCATGCGAAATGATAACTTCTTGAAAAGCTGTGACCATATTCTAAAACGATTCGATGTATTGTCAAAATTCTGACTTCATTCTTAAAAAGATGTATGCTTGCAAAAAAAAAAAATCTGACTTCATTCTTGAAAGTACGACTTTATTCTTGAAAAATATTGAATTCACAGGAAATTCATTGCCAGTTATGACTTCATTCTTGAAAAAAATTCGACTGTTCTAAAAATGGTCTTTATTCTCAGAAAATCATGGTCAAAGTTATGACTTCGTTCTTGAAAAAGACTTCGCATGACCTTTGCCAAAAAAATATGACTTCATTCTTGGGAAAAAAAAAATACAACTTCATTCTTGAAAAACAGATTTCACCATATTCTAAAACAAACACGACCTGCATCTTCATTCTCAATGTATTTGACTTAATGCTTGACAGGACCTGAAATGGTTGGAATAAAAAACAAACGTTATCCTCTGAAAAATGAAAATATTCCAGATGTCATTTTCCAAGATGCCATTTATCATTTCTCTATAATTTTGTTTGACTTTTGAATCTTGTCCCCCATCTTGCACCACTTTAGAGGCGAGCTTGCGCAGCATGGTGTCTCTTTTGTTTACAATACGTCTTGCTGAAGCCTACCAAATGTCCTTCTTGTAAAAATGTCACGTGTTGTGAGAGGAGAGCTTTCAGTTGCAATGTTGTTGTGTTTTATGTTACATGACATGTTTGTCACGTCAGGTATCATCTGGCCTGTGGAGTGTATTCTTTACCCACTACGCTTACCTCAGCCTGGCCTTGCCTCGGGCCTACGCCTCCGAAGCACTGCGATGCATCATGTACAAAGGTGCACGCGCGCACACACACGCACACACACACACACTCACATTATGTAAGAGTCAGTGTGAAGCTGTTCTTGTAGCGTGACACTGTGGTGTGACTGAGTCTACTTACGAAGTACAAAGTGTTCTACTGTAAGACACCGATTCCCAACCGCTCTTCTGTAAATGATCCAATTTCTCTGCATTGGTCTGAAAATAGCTATTTACTGACTAATTTCCGGGTGTCTGTATGTTCATCTATCTATGGCAGTGACGTATAGTGACAGACAAAACAACAGCATTCATATTACAGAATAGCTTGATGTTGTACATGCTATCTGGAGTGGTTATCAATCAATATTTGCTTAATTAGTATGACAAAAACAGTTTTTCAAAAGTAAATAAAATACATGATGCAGACTGCTACAGGTGAGTTTTGATAGCTGAACAGTTTTGTTCTGACCAACCAAAAATGATGACATCATCATGGGCCAGCACATTGCCCTGCGTGGAGGAATTGGAAGCTCTCAAGTCGAGGCATGTTGAGGTCGTATCGTTTTACCTCCCTATACACTGTAAAAAAAAATTGAGAGCTCCAAATTTTAAGGCAACAAAAAAAAAATTAAGTTGGGCAAGACGACAATTTTGCTCATGTGAAAATTGGCTTTGCTGCATTCCCCCCCAAAAAAACAAAAAATGAGTTTACTGAACTCATTGTCCCTCTATTGTCCCCACAGCTTAAAGATATAACAAAAAAAAAATGCTTGGAAGCAAACAACTTGCTTTCTTTGTTGCGCTAATTAATATTGTTGCGATAAATGTCAGTAATATATATTTTAAAGTTGTTCCAACATAAATTAGTCTTTTAGCTCTGAAAAATAGACAGTTGAGATGGGGAAGGAATAGATGCACCTTCACGGAAAAAATAGTCAGGTTATAAATGAAGAGCATCAGAGAAGGTCACGCTTGGGTTGCCTTCATGTGCTTCCAGGTTATAAAACGATGACGGTGAGGATGAAGAATCTTGGCTCGTGCCACATTCAAAGAGCCTCAAAGCTCCCGCCGACGGTTCCCGCGGCGACCAGAAACAGCCACAGGCCTCCTATTCGTGTGTGTGTGTGTGTGTGTGTGCATGCAGTGTAATTACCTATTTTTATACTTTGCAAATTTGAACAAAAAGCAGCCCGCTGCTACTTTTGTGACTGCGTAGCTTGCAATAATGCTCGATTTTATTTTTCATAACAAAAATTTGAATGTGCAAAACAACAACATACAAATGACAACAAAGCACACTTTGCTCCATATAGTCTTTTTCTTTAGTCATGACATCAGTTCAGAGGCAATAAACTGAAGAAAAATTGGCAGTGATTTAATTTTGAGCTTTACGTTGCATTCTTAGTTCTTCTATTTTTCAATTGTTTTTTTTTTAAT